CGGATAGTTCTTGAAGATAAGACGATGAATGCAGTCGCTTTTTCAATAAGATTGAGTTCTAATAATTTGGAATGGTCAGCCTGCTCGAATATTGATTTTATTTTTGATTTTTCTATGACAAGATCATATTTTATTTAATTTTCATCGATCAGATTGGTTTTTATTTTATTTGTTTTTTTTTGAAAACTTTCCTTCAATGCTATATCAGATGATTGACGTTATAGACGAATTGGAGTGTCTTGGAATTCTTCCATACATATGATCATTCCAGTAAGTGTTATTTCGCGCGACAATTATGAACAATCCTCCTAGTAACAATTGAAACCAACAAAAATGAAAGGAGAAATATGTATTGTTCATTTTCATTTTTATGTTGAGCTGTTGGAATCCATAAGATGGATGATGTTTCTCATGTGTCTACCATTCTTATTACTATTATCAAAATTCTAGATAGTCTTATTTTATAACATGAACTCCTAGTTCATCGAAAAACCTCAAAGAAGGGCAAATTTGAACGTGCTTTATGTACATATCTGTCTCACAATGAGAATGAGTGTAGTTACATATCATCTGTTTTAGAAGACGAATAACATTAGTTAGTTCAATAGGTACATCAGGTACTTTCAATTATTAATGATCAAAGAGTCGTCTAGTGACTATTTGACTCATCATAGCACTGTTACTAGGTTGGCAGTAAAAAGCTACGAACTGACTATCCAGGTTCATAAAACTCATGTGTCATTTCGAGTTTATTAGTGCGAAAAAGACACTCTAGTTGTACATTCTATGAAAACAACATCAGAAGATGGATCAATCGTATGTCTGGGGGCTAGAAGATGTGATGATGACATTAAAACTGAACAAATCGCTTTGGAATGTTATGATTTAAAAGATGTTACCTGACAGAAATTACTTCTTTCAAGCATTAAGCAATCAAGTATTTTGTTCACAAGAATGTTATAGTGTTCCAAGAGCAATCGTCAATTGATACGTATGCGAACATTGAGCTAACTTCGAGCGACATATTGATAGTGAACATTTCCCTTCAACTAGAATAATTCATCAATCAGATTAGTCAACAAGGATCGTTTATCGATGCACTCGATGTGACTAGGAGAGCGGCGACCTTACGTATAAATTTTATTGTTCCTGTGCCGATCTACGAAAGAGAAAACAAATAATTTTTCAATAACACTTTGAGTATCATACAGAAGCAATAGAACAAAATGAAATAAATAAATGAAAAATCAGCAAGCAGTTCTGTAAAATGTTAGATAGTAGAATCACGAAAGATCAATGCTTTTGTTAAGAACATGTTATTGCATTACAAATAAAGTTCAAAATCAGAAATCCATGTTTTGTACATACATGTGTAATATATTTCATTGGATAAACAGTTTTTGCCAAAAGCCTCCTTTTATTTCTTTAGTACTGGAGAAAATGCTGTTGCTGTTGTTATCATTCGTTTTTCTTCTTCAATATTATGTTCTATCCTACTGGATCAATTCATTTTTTTTTCTATCTAACGTAAAAGAAATCAAATACGAAAAACTATGAAATTCGTTAAACCTTCGTTCAGTAGTCTTATAATACAAAAAACTACCCAATAAGTACAAGTGATCAAATAATTCATAGTAAACAGGCAATAATAAGTTAGTTTTAAGATAAATTTTAGTTAAAACACTCAATAAACTGAATATAGAATAAGTTCCACAATCGAAGTTTTTCCTACCAAATCGAAAGATCTGCATTCTGATACTGATTTATCTTCTATGCAAACATGTCGCAATGAAAGAACTATAAACATGTATTGTTTGACAGCAAGTAAAATTAAATTATAGTTGCATTGATTTTTAATGTTTAGTTGAAATTTTCTAGTTGTAGTTACTCAAGAGAATAAATCTAAAATATCTTTCATAGTCATATCTAATTGGTTTTGTTTTTCGTCATCATCTACTTCAATGTAATTATACATATCAATATCTTTTTTTGAAATAGGAAAATAAGGAAATGCTTCTGCAAGAATATCCGACAGTCTTGTTTCACAAGCACAAAAAATAATCTTTTTCGTCGAAATATGCAATCGAACTCTTTTAAATTGTTTTAGAAATCAATTGAAATTGAATATCAATCGTAAATTACTCAATGTCTTCTAAAAGTTACATCATAAACTAATATCAAACAATCGGAATACACTAATTGATAATGATCAATTTTCATATTATATAATGGACATCCGATTTTATCAAAGATTTCATAGTCATGAAATTTGAACATTTAAAAGCTTTAGTGAATATTCGCTATTATGATAAGTATAAAAGTGATTAGTAAATTGAATAGATAAAGTTGTTAAAAAACGAAGTCAATGAAATGTCAAATGATGCAATGAAATCATCTAAAGAGAAGAAAATATTGATTTTCAGTATCAATTTTGTTTCTGTTTAGAAATATCAAAAATCACTGCAGAAGTAATAAATCATTTATATTAATTATTTTCATCGTTCATCTCAATCAATAAAGATTCATTGAATATTTTAATAGAAATAAACCATGTTTTATTTTCTTTGACAAAATTTATGAACATCAGTTGACATATTTAAAGATTGTAATAGTTGTTCAATAGTTTTCTTTTGATTTCATATTATTATTTTCATTTTTTGTTTATCATCGTACTTTATTATTTGAATTAGAATTAATGTACGAAAATGTAGTATTGATTGATAATCAATAGTTGAATATAGTTACTAAATGGTTTTCGAGTATGATATTCTATGAATATTTGATTCTTCTAAGATAAGAACATATTCATTATAAGTAACATTTATATGTATTTATTAAACGATAAAATAGTATTGATTTTAATGCACAAATACCATGAGCATGTAAGATTAAAAGAATGTAATAACATTAGTAGTATTATTTCGATTTATACCATCGAATCGTATTGAATAAGTTAGTGATGAAATCGATTGATTATCACCAATAATACTCTGTTATTCTTGTCAAACAACTGTAAAATCATCGACGGGGAAATCACTTATTTCTGATTTAGTTTTTAACTAATAATTGATTTATTGTTAAATAGTTAATAAAATACAAGTAAATATCGGGTAATTTTAATGGTGATGGGTTTTATACAATGTTCAATTGCAAATCAACAGAAACGTTGAGTTAATAATGACTCTGGGGTTTCTACTTAAATAAACTAACTTATGTTCTTGTCTAGAATAAAATGTAGAAAATGTCAGATCTTCTATTTCGAAGGTCTTAATGACAACAAGTCTACGACCTTCATTATCGTAAAGCTAATATGATGAAGTCTTATTTGATATAAAACACAATAATAATCCTCAATATTTAGTAAAGGACAAGAGCTTTCTCGGATGATTACGTTTCGAAAGTTCTCATTGTATTTTTTCATTTAAAACGTTGGACTATCTAAATCATATTTATTTAGGAATGCTTCAAAAATTCACTTCTATCATAAATTAATTAGTAGTTTAGTAATGGAGCTCTTTTCTAGATGTAATTATGTAGAATATATACGAGAAGTCATTTTTGCAACAATCAATTAACAGACTGTTACATTTTTTACGATGTCTGTAGTCTACTCAATGAAAGTTACTTACATTTCAAAGTGTCAAACAAAATATCGATTAATCATATAACCGTACTATGTTTCCTATTACTTCAATTGTATCTCCACGTTCTCTACACCAACAAAATCAATACAAACAATTAAAACAATAATTATAACTTCAACTTTGCAAAGAGATAATCGAAATTGATGTATTAAAACAAGACTTCGTATAGCGGATAAAAATCATTACTATTATTATTATTATTATTATTATATATGTGCATCATATAATGATGAGCATATTGCATATTTACAATGTCCTAATAATATGCATTTTTTTTTTTTACTAAAATAAAAAGTTTAGAAAATTGTTTAATTGAGTTTTTATATCAATCAGGATCTTCTACTGTTACTCGATAATATGTAATAGAATTCCTCGAGTTAACAATAAAAACTTCAATATACAAACTTATCTAAGATTAATCCTTCACTAGCATAGATTTATGGTCATCAAAGAGAGTAAATACGATTATGATATTCATTACGAAATAAAATAAAAAATATCGGTCAATACTTCTTCTGTTTCTGTTTGATAACATTTTACATATATTTTCTTAGTCGACTAATCATTGAATTATAATGAATACATGAAAAAAAAACTACAAGAAATTTAATAAATGTATAATATGCTTATCGTTTATAGAATTGAAATAACTTCTTTTATCATAAATCAAACATTAGACATTCTTATCGAAATGTTATAAAATTGAATTGAAATTGAATCCAGAGTTTCTTTTTAATAATATCTAACCTTTTTTATTCGTCTATCAAGATAACCTTGTACTTCAAAACTAAAGTTCAGTTCAATCACAAAATCAAGCGAGAAAAAAGTGAAGTATCATTAACCAAAACCCTACTGTTGGTAAGTATAAATAAATTTCATGGTTCGATAAGTTTTTTTTTTTCTGTTTCAATCATTTCTATGTTCAATATTAAATATTTCCTGATTTATTTAATTGCATATAATTTCTTTTTGTTATGTTCAAATAGTATCATTATTCCAATGAAATGTCCATAAAAAAAAAAGCAAAATTCAATTTACTATTAAGTCAATATGATTGGTTGATGGACTTGTGTCCTTAAACTGTGTATATATTTTATCGTAATGATCCTTTCGACGTGCTCAAATCATGCATATTGCGTGTTGACCTTCACATCGTCCCTACTTTCTCTCTCTCTCTCTCTCTCTCTCTCTCTCTCTTTTATACTCACTTATTCGTTTTTTTTTCGCACACTTTTATACTCCACTCCCATTTTTTACAGTGATCTTGGTTTTACTATTTTCATTTCTTCTTCTTCCTCTTTTTTTTTTTTTTATTACTTTCATTCATTGTTTGATTATACAAAATAAACGTACACGATGATTGACAACTCGTCAATATCGAAAGATGATTTGTATGGTCCACCACCAGCTTATTCAGTAAGAAATAATTATGAAAATCCACCACCACCACCACCACCATCATATACACCATCGATTTATGTTGTACCTATTAGAGATATTCATTACCAAGAAAGATTATCTTCATCTCATTCCTCGATTATTTTACCAAAAAAATTTACTCGATATTTACTTGGATCAGGACTTATGCATATGATGATTGGTTTAGCAGCTATTGTTTGTGATATTATTTTAACGATTATGAATGAATCGTATTCATTTACTGGTCTTTGGACAGGTGCATTAAGTATTATATTAGGAATAGATCTTATTTTATTAATGAGTCGTTCAAATATGCGTGTATGTTCTTTACAACGGATACGATTAATACATATGGCCATATGTTTAGTTTCTATAGTTGCAATTATTCTTACATCGATTAATCTTGCATCTGACTCATGTTATAAAATATTTTTAGGTCCAGATCGATGTCGACATTCATCACATTTAATAAAAATTATTCTTGTTACACTTTTTTCTTGTAATTTTATACAATTATGTATTACGATTGTAATGACATTTATTTATATGAGTAAATCTCATGAAATAGTAACAAGAAATGACAGTATAATGCCTGAAATTATCAGCTAGATACATCGTTTATTTTAATCGTTTTTTAAATATTGATTTTATTGTTCTTTTGTCAATCATCTGAAAGAACCATTTTCTTTTTTTTTCTTTTGACGAGAGGACAAAAAAAAAATAGGCAAGACATTTTTTTTCTACTCAATGCAATACCTGTACGACATGTGATCGTGAAAAAAAAAATATTGCAAGTAAATCAGTTTCGTCATTCCCATCTTTTTCTCTTTCGTTACAGATATTTATGTTGTCTTTTGTTTTTTCTTTTGATTAAAAGAAATCAGTTAAATAAGTCATATCATGTCTGACGTTAGTATTTATGTAATAGCCAGTATATTGTGTCTTCAAATATTGATTACTTGTCTTAACTCAACAGTTGGTCAATATATATATGGATTTTATTTAGAAACATATCCTAATTCATCGAATAAGACATCTAATTATACAACAATAAGTATATATGATTCATTCTATTCTTTCAATCAAATCAATAATGAAACAAACCAATGTTTACAAAGTGATATTTCTCCTAATAAAGATGCTCAAGCATGGGCACAACAACATTCAGCTGATCTATTTTTTTGGACAAATTTAATGAGTAGTTGTCCGGTAATAATAATGACTTATATTCTAGGTTTATATACTCCAAAACTAGGAAAACGTTTTGTACTTATTATACCAATGCTAGGTACGGCTAGTCAAACAGCTATTTGGTTATCAATCATCTATTTTCATCTATCTGAACTTTGGTGGTACATATCGGCATTCTTAGTTGGTCTATCTGGTTCCACTGGTCTTTTAGGTATGAATGCATTTTTTTGTGTTTGCGATTAATTTCTTGAAATATGATTGTTACAATTTGTCCAAAGACAAAAAAAATCTACTTAAGTATTTTGACACATAAAGTATTGCAAGCAAAACGCGACACATTTGACTCTGATTATTTAGAAGAGTTATTTTTTCTGAATATTTTTTTTTAGCATAAATAAACGTATAAATATTGGTTCTTTCAGCTGACTATTAATTCAAAAGTAATTAGTGAATATTTCACTTCAAGATAGACTGTACGATACGAACCGCATTTACAGTGAAATTTTCAACAAGATCCATTGACTTCCGGCGTTTCTTTTTTGAAAAAAATGACAAATCTTTATCAAGAAAAAAACATTGTTTTTATGTGATAGTCTTTAATGGAATCAACAATACATAGTGATATATTGCAACCAGGACACACAGAGCATGCATCACGTCGAACATTATGGTGATAAGCAGATCATGTATTTTTTTTTCAGGTTGTTTTGATTGCTTCATCGAACGTTTTCTTCTTGTTGAAGCAACCATTGTGAAAACTATAGAAAACTTTTCCAAATAGATAAAGAATATGCTAATGACACCTTAATTCAATAAATCTATTCAGACATATTTATGCGTTGCTGAAAGTCAAAGGGTTAAACTAAAATACATGCAATGAAAGTCAATGTCCTTTTTTGTTTCACATCGCTAACATTAAATTTTTTTTTCACTGATAACTCCTGTGAACAAATGTCTCTAGCATTGATTTTTTTTTCAGGATATCTAAAGTAGCCGTTGATAACAAATGATTTGTCCCATATATACAATAAATCGTTTACATTTATTTATGCTGTTACTGAGCTTAGATAAGTGATTGGATGAAGTTTGTATTAGACTACCCTAGAAATCTGCTAACGGATTTTTTCTGCAAAATTTATTGTCTAAAATGTTTCTTTTTCTTTGTTTAGGTTTAACTTTAAATTTAATAATTACCGAAAATACATTGGAAAATGAACGTTCATCTCGTTTTGTACGTTTGGGTGCAATGCAAACAGCATTAGCAGCAATAGCAACATTTATTATTGGTTATTATATACTTTGGCGTGGCTTTATTGATCTATATTGGCTATCTATTTCATTACAAATAGTATCTATAATTATTGTTATTAGCCTTTTTAAAAGGGTTGACACTAATGTTGATGAGCGAACACATTTATTATCATCAATTAATGGTCAATTTAAAGAAACTTCATCAAATAATTGTAATAATTTGTTAAAGATTTGTATAGCATTTAAATCAAATCAACGGTCAAAGAAAAAAACTATAAGTTTATATTTAACATTATTTTCAAATATATTTTATGCATTAGCAGTAATATCATTGTCACCATTTCTATGGTTTCTTCTAAATAAACCTTTTTGTTGGACATCAAAAGACATTGGAAATTATTCAGCATTAGCTGCTATTTCTTCTGCAATACTTAGTTTACTTGGTATGCAACTATTAACATATATTGGTGCTAGTGATGCAATTATATGTGCAATAAGTCATATATTTTTTTGTCTAATATCATTATGGAATGCATTTGCACGACATGGATGGCAATTATATGCTGGATTATTAATAAGTGGATTTTCTGGTTATCAAGGTTCATTAACACTATCAATGATGTCAAAATGGTTAGAATTTTATGAACGAAATAATGCGTTTACATTTGTAACAGAAATCAATACAATTATATCAACATTTGGAAGTTCATTTTTTAATTGGCTTTATGCACGTACAGTTGTTAATCATCGAAATCTTATATTACTTATTGCTGCCGGTCTTAGTATTATTCCATTTATTTTAAATATGTAAATATTTTGATTTATATATTTGAAGAAAAGAAAATTGTTAATTATTTGTTTATTTTTTAAGATGTCTTTTTTTCATAACTCGAAAAATGCCAGACGAAGAAGCACTTCCACTTTCACAAACTGATACAGAACCGGCGCCATTTCGTTTAGAAAGCAATATATTACCGCGTGTCGGCGATGCTGCTTGTTTAATTATTCCATCTCGATCATTGACTTCTTCATTACGTACGCCATCAATGGAAAGATCTCGAATGAATTCTGTTGATGACGATCATATGCAAGAAATACTCAATTCATCAATTAATGATTTGGATATTCTGTGATACATATATATTTTTGTATTTTGAATTTGAATATTTTTGTATAACAAAAACAAACAATAAGATTTACTGTATATTGAAACAAAACATTTCTCAGAATAATAAAGAAAATCCGAATTTTCAACTACAATAGAATATGATTAATATAACAATTTCATGTATCCGTTTAAAATATAGATATCATCGAAGAATAATAGTTCACATTTAATGAGCTTTGGTGTTTCGTAAATATAATATGTTGATAAAGAAAATTTTGATCAATTGTAAGATTTTTATTACCTTTTTGAATCGCTTGAGAGTATTCTTTCGATGTCCATCAAAACTTGAGATATATATTGATTGACATTGTAGGTTTCTACAAAAGCTAGAATATTTTAATAGTAACTTGATTAACATCACTTTATTCGAATTTTTATATCCGAGTATAAATAAAATGCAAAAAACAAAAAAAATTTCAAAAATTTTACGATGCTCTTAATTGACAAGTAATCATTATGGAATTTTAAAATTTGAATATTCTGAATCGATTTTAGAATAATTCTTTGTAACAGATAGATTAAATAACAGAAAAAGATGAAAATCATCTTAACTACAATAATAAATAACATACTGTTGAGCAAAATATCGAAACTCTGTTCGACAAAACACTAAAATCGAAAATAAAGTAAAATAATCTCTATCTGATTATTTCGGTAAAATAGAATTTAGTAATACAAATTGAATTCTATTCAATTTTTAGAACATTATTGTCATATTCTAATCAACAGTTGTATAAAGTGTAATCTTAATAACTCGATAACAATAACAGATAGAAATCTTCGGTTTTCAGCAATCAAAAGAAGAGAACTCCAGATTTTGTTTTGTTTGATACTATACAATATAAAACTAAAAATCAACGGAAGATAATCATCTGAATCCTTTCTTGAACAATACATCCGAAGCAAATGTCAGAATCAAAATTACATCGAAACAAAACACCATTTTCATGCAGTTTTTTTTTTTAATTGAAATTTTATTCGATTTTCTTTAAACTTAAGTTTTGAATGATTTTATTTGCGCTCTCTGTTTAATATGCTCCTGAGTTCTATCATAATTTTAAAAAAACATTTTCAATAAACAGAACACTTCTTGTCAATACACTTTCACTAGTAAGATGACTTGCATCGAATTTTTCTCCTGTTGGCATTGTCGAATATTCAGAATGTGACTGATCTGCTCAAGTATCAATTTCATAAAAGTGTTTAGAGATCTCTTTAATATCATCTTTATTTACCATTTTTGTATGAAATCCGACTGACATAGATCATTTTACAATCATAGGAGACTCTAATTCGACCGTCAATAAAATTATTTCGATTCTAATGCTTATTGACTAAGGCATTTTATATGAGCTACGTTAAATAAAACTTATAGAAAATTCTAGTATATTGCTTTAACTGTTCACACTATTTATTCCGACGAACTTTTGGAAGATTCTGTATATAAATTTTTTATGTATTCGGGAAGAGCAATTAATTTAGCTATTATGTATTTGATTGAATTGTAAATAATACGAATAAAACTCTCATTTGTTGTGATAAAACTATGAACTGAATAGTTTCTCGAACAAAATTTGTATTAATATATAATTCATCAACAGATGATTTTTGTACTGTGACGGCAATGTTTGTTTTTCTGTACATCATAAAGCGATCAATATCCGATTTCTACTAGCATAAGTCAATCAATGAGCCTGAATCTTACAATCTTATATCAATTTATGCGTATTATTGAATATTCTCCATATACTCTAAAGAATTAATTAATTGAGATGTGATTGCAAGAAAAAGAAGATTTTACTCAAAATAGTACTGAAAATCTTGAGAGAAAAAAAATTTCTTTTCTTTCAGTTTTCATGACATGACTCAGAATAAAAAAAGTACATTCTTTTACTCTTCTTTGCACAGGTTCACATATACGTTGTATTTTGTTTCAATGCTTCATTTGCTTTTTTTTTCTTTCGGCAAGAGATACGAGGAAAAAAGAAAGAGAACACAGCATAACCCGACGATGAGTAATACTATAGGTAAATGCTAAGTTAAAAAAATCAAGCTTGTTATTTCTTATTTTCACTACAAGAAATATAAATTTATCAATTCTATATAATGACCAATGTTAGTAATTATGCTATAGCTATTATTCTATGTCTTCAAACAGCATGTCAATGTGTTGTTTCAACTGTTGGACAATATATTTATGCATATTATTTACAAACATATCCATCATCATCAAATACAACTCAAAATCTTACTAAAATCATAATTCCTTCATTTAATCGTTTAAAAATTGTTCATACTGTTTTGACACAGTGTATAGATAATACAACTAGTAATTCTTCAAATAGTAATGCTCAAATATGGGCACAAGAACAATCAGCTGATTTATTCTTTCGAATTAATTTATGGAATAGTTGTCCAATGATTATAATGACGTATATTCTTGGATTATATACTCCAAAATTAGGTAGACAATTTGTTCTTATATTACCTATGTTAGGTACTACTGGTCAATTAATTATCTGGTTAGCAATTATTTATTTACGTTTAGCTGATTATTGGTGGTATATCGCAAGTTTTATTGTTGGTTTGTCCGGTTCTAGTTGTGTTTTAAGTGAGAGAAATATTTTTATTTGTTTGTTTTTTTTACACAGAGTGACTCAAAAGTTCAAAAAACAATTAAATATCTATGTATAATTTATCTGTTTTCTAGAAGCTCTTGTAGAGTCTAGATTTTCGGAGCATTCTTATTGTTGAATTTTAATCTGAAACTTTGAACATATAGAAACTTTACTCATATCATTATCATTGGCAAATAGGATTATCTCGTTTGCTTGAGCCGTAACACATATTCGATTGTTTCTCGATAAAATAGCTTTTGGATCAACTTGTATCTTTATATATATATTGTTTTTTGGTTTTTGTAGATTTTGTACTGAATTTAATCATTATAGACAATACAAAAGAAGATAATCGATCATCTCGTTTTGTTTTATTTGAAGCATTAGTAACAACTGTTTCTGCTATAAGCACATTTTCTACTGGTTATTATATTAATTGGCGTGGTTTTACAGATCTTTATTGTATTTCATTAGGATTACAAATTGTTTCGATTATAATTGTTATTTTCTTTTTTAAAAATACTTTTCATATAATCGATGAAAGAACTTGTCTATTATCATCATCGATTCAAAATAATAATGATATTCAACTTAAAGAATCACGTTCTTTAAGAACGACATGTAATGATTGTTTCATTATTTTGAAAATATTTGGTTTTAAAAATCGTTCATATAAAAAATCAATTAGTCTTCTTTTAATTCTATTCGCTTATATTTTTTATCTATTAGCATATTCAACATATACATCATTTCTTTGGTATCTACTTGATAGTCCATTTTGTTGGTCATCAGAAAATGTTGGAAATTATATGGCATTATCTTCAATATCTTGTGCTATTTTTAGTTTACTCGGAATGAAATTCTTTACATATATTGGTGCTAATGACACATTAATTTGTATATTTAGTCATTTATGTTTTACTATATCGTCTCTTTGGATTGCATTTGCTAAACATAGTTGGCAATTATATGCAGGATTATTAATAAGTCCTTATGCTGATTATCAAAATCCTTTAACAATACCAATGTTATCAAAATTATTGGAAGTTCATGAACGAAATCATGCATTTACATTTGTAGCTGAAGTAACTACAATTATAACAACTTTTGGAGATTCAATTTTTAATTGGGTTTATGCACAAACAGTAGTTAATTTTCGAAATTTGACTTTATTAATGGCTGCTGGATTTAGCATTATTTCGTTTATTTTAAATATGTAAGAAATTGATAAAAATTTAAAGAATGTTATTGTTTTTATTTTTATTAGATGTCTACTTGGTGTAACACATCGAATACCGAATGACGATCAAGTTTCAATTCCTGAATCGGAACCATTTCTTTTACCAAATAATAATAACAATAATAATCATATAGCACATTTGGGTGATGTTATTGGTTCATCATTACTATATTCAACATTTGTTTCACAGACATCAAATAAAAATAGATCTCGAATCAACTCAGAATCATCAACAGACAACAAGATGATAACAACAGATAATCATTTAATTCTTTGATGTTTGTATTTTATGACATTTGTTGCTTAATTAAATAGAAAAAAAGAGTGAACAATGTGTACAACACATTGTGTAGTTACTAGAAAATCTCAAATTATTGAGTTTTAAAATCAGTGAAAACTGAAACACTTATTTTGGTTATTTATGAAATATATTCTTTTCATTATAATAAATAATATGAAAAATAATTAATCGATAAATTAAATACTATTTACAATAATTATAGAAAATATTTGTCATTATCTTGACATTAATTCAATCCTAATAATTGAATTGAGAAAATAGAAAAAAATAAATGTGGAAACTTCGGATTTAAATCCGAGTGTTATATGTACTTCCAAAAGTAAACAGATGAATCATCATAGCATGTCGAGACATCAAAATTATCCTAGCAAACCGTTTTTCTTAAAACTTGATTTCTATTGGTTACTGCTCAACCAATAGAATTTCGAGACAAGTAAAGCTCAGCTTCAAGTTCTCCGCTCCAGAAAACCTTTGTTCAAGTTTGATAAAACCTCGAAGTATCGCTCCTCTGATTGGAAGATAGTGCTTTAATTTTTCATCAATGAGAGCGTGGAAAAGCACAGAAGCAATTTCCGTTTAAGTATCTTTGCAATAGGTGACTTACCATTCTAGTGTTTCTTAATGTTTTATATACCATTTTGTAGTCCGTGAAATTCTCTATCGAATTGTATATAATAGATGAGGTTTTGTCTGGTTATAAGAGAAATTTTTTTTTAAGAAAACCTGGATATGTCAATGTTCGCATAGACAAGCATAAGAAATAATGGCATTTTTTTGCGATAATTCAGCAATTTCTTGATGAATCATTCTCATTTTCGAACTCGACCGAGATATCGATAAGACGATTCTGTTTGCAAAAATTTCATCACAATCGGACTACCCTTTAAAGAGTTATCGTGTAAACAGCCGGCCGGCCGGATACACTGACCAATCCAGTAGTGTACTCCCCCCTTTTTGAGTAGACAAAAAGAATGTTCTTCTAAAATAAAAACTTAATAAAAAAAAAATATTATGATATTTTTTTAATTTTCTATCTGTTTTGATAGTATTATTTACATGGACGGCAAGGTTTATTATTCTTCATGCATCGTTGATTCTGCGCAGTAAGAAGCCGATGTGAATAGAAGAATACAACTATGCTCTGTAAAATCATTTGATTGCATAAAATATCAGTATTTTTTTATTATTTGTTTCAGAAATCTCATTTTATCTGATGATGAATGTCAGCAATTACACCATCGCAATTGTTCTCAGTCTTCAGACTCTTTGTACTTGCATTATTTTTACACAGGGACAATATATCTATAAATTCTATCTAGAAACATATCGATTTTTATCATATGAAATACAGAATTCAACGATTGTTACTCTTCCATCTTATCTTAATAAGATAAATAATAAATTCTCAGACAAGTGTGCAAAAAGTAGTATTGCTGTGAATCGTAGTGTTCAAGCATGGGCACAACAACGATCTGCTGATCTTTTTTTTTGGGCTAATCTATGGAGTTGTTTTCCTATTATTATAATGACTTATATTCTTGGATTTTATACCCCAAAATTAGGTAAAAGATTGGTTCTTATATTACCTATGATAGGTACTGTTTGTCAATTAGCGATTTGGTTAACAATTATTTATTTTCATTTATCAGAATATTGGTGGTATATAGCTGCATTTATTGTTGGTTTATCAGGTTCTGAAAATGTTCGAGGTATAAATTTCGAATAAAATTTCTTTACTTACTGTTCTTCCTTTTGTTTTTGTTTATTGAGGTTTTGTTCTCAATTTATATATTACTGAAAATACCGTTGAAAATGAACGTTCATCTCATTTTGTTCTTTTTGGTGCAATATCAATGATAGTTTCAGCGATAGGAACATTTGCTATTGGTTATTATATAGCATGGAAAGGTTTTATTGATTTATATTGGATAGCATCAATATTACAATTAGTTTCAATTATTATTGTTCTATGCTTCTTTAAATCTGATAAACATCAATCTAAAACTTTATCAATGTCTAGTGATTTAAATTCATTTTCAAACTCACCTGATATACAAATTTCTAAAACAAATTGTTGTTCTTATTCTGATGTATGTAAAATTTTGGAATTTAAAAATCGTTCACGTAAAAAATCCTTTAGTCTTTTATTAATACTCTTAGCTTATGCATCATATGGATTTACTTGTACATCATTAATTGTACTTCTTTTATATCTTCTTAATGCTCCATTTTGTTGGTCATCGGAACATATTGGAAATTATTCAGCAATAGCATTAATTTCTCTTGGTATTCTTAGTCTATTAGGTATGAAAATTTTAACGAAAATTGGTGCTTGTGATATAATTATTTGTATAATTAGTCATATATTCTTTTGTATTGCTTTACTTTGGCTTGCATTTGCCCAGTATGATTGGCAAATGTATGTTGGATTAATATTTAGTTCATTTTCTGGTTATCAAAATTTATTAACATTACCAATGATATCAAAATGGTTACAACCATATGAAAGAACAAATATGTTTACATTAGTAACAGAAATTAATGCTATTATGAAAGTTATTGGATGTTGTTTTTTCAATTGGATTTATGCTCGAACTGTAATTAATTATAAAAATTTTACATTTTTACTTGCAGCTGTTTTGAGTATGATTCCACTTTCTATAAACATGTAAGTATATTTTTGAAAGAAATACTTTATTAAATTTTGCTTTTTTTGTTTTTGTTTTTCTTTAGATGTTTATGGTTTGTCTCACGATGGATGCCTAATGAAAATAGTGAGCAATGTGAAAAAATCGATTTGATATCGACGGAAGTTTCGGTATCTACCGATTGGCCACCACAAATTGGAGATGCTAATTCACTTTTAATTCCACAACAATTATCAAAACTATCACGTTCGAATTCATTAGCATCAATTGATTATGAAATAAAAGAAATTTACTGTGCTGATACTCGTTAATAATACTTTTGTTATTTATTAGACTTGTTCAGAATGAAAATTCGATTTATTTATTTAATTATACTAGTAAACAGGAAAGAATAGTTGTGTCTGGATGCTTTCATTTAAACAACCATTCAAACAAGACAAAAATTTTTGTTCGAGTTGTATCTTAAAAACAATAAATTGTTCTCAAACTTTCAATCATATATACTAACCGTCAACTAAATTTTGCTAAATATGTCTCAGATCGATAGCATGTTATTGAGCACGGTTTCGTAAAGACAGCTAAAAAGATACCTCTGTACAGAAAAGGGTAAAAAATTTTGAACTTTGATATCTGTTTTTAACTATTGCTTTGCTGAATTATAAAAATATGCGGCATAATATAAGGTTTTTAGCATACCATCAGTTGATAACTCATGTTAGAAATCATCATGTAAATGTTAATCTAATTGATTTGATATCGGTAGATGCATAGTTCGTTTTCAGCTTTCCGTGGCATAGTTATTTCGTTTCATATGTCATCACTGTTATCTTAAGTTGGGGAAATTAACCCCAGCTACTATTTCGTCACCTCCTCCACAGAATTGTCGACATAGATAGATTTGTTTACAAGCACAGAAGTGCATAGAACTCGATGGATTAGAGTTTTCAAATTGTCAGAGAGCTATGACAACTTTCGACGAACTAAAAATCTACTTCAATACTTTTCCAGCTCCTTGTTATCCGATAAACTGAATGATGCGTTCATTACACTCACACCCTCATTCACACGTTCATCTGTCATCGACACTTCGTAGATCATAATATATGCTCACATTACATCGTGCTTATTACAACACTCTAGTTTTAGAAACTATCAAGCTTTGGAGAAGTTGAGAAAAATTTCTATGGGACATGTACCGATACTGCTCTGTCAGGTAATATCATCTTAGAAGCTTATATACAATTCAGAAAAGTATGGAGACATGTTTCAATTATCTTGAAAGAAGTACAAATTAAGCTTTATACTACTAAATGAGAGTTTCTCATTTTTATGAAATAGTTAGCTCAAATCTTATGAATGTTTCAATAATGAATATCGTACTTATCTCATAGTTGCATTTGTTTTTGAACCCAAAACCTTCTCGTGTAATTTCAATCGATCATCTTTCAACTTTGTGAGATAATGTGTCATTTTTAAACTAAAGATTTATACAAATTTTTGTCTCCTTAATAAAAATTTGTATAATTCCATTTATAGACTGAGTATAATTTCATAACAAAAAGAAGCCGAACAGAATGGTATTCAAACACGTCCATTTCCTATTTGCCACTTTCTGAACAACAGTGTCTTATTAATGTCTATGCGCATACATCTTTTGGCTCACGAAAGAATCTCGATTGTTTTGTCAATAGAAAATATGTAGGATCAGTGAAATTATATACATCATAGGATGAGATTCTATTGCATTATTTTATCAATCAATAACGTGCCGTTATAACCAAAATAACAGTTGTTATATTAGGAGTGATACAGTGTGGTGATCGTCGCCGCAACTCTCATATGATTCTTCTTTCTTACTGTTTCATTTTGAAATCATAATCTGTAGTAAATTCATATATTTTCAGCTGCAAATGATCGAAACAATGTCATACAAGAATTTAAGGACTCTACTGATTTATCTAAAAGGAAGAGATGATAACTTTCCTTTTATGCAAACTTTAGCTCATCCGATCATATAGAGTCGTTCGGGGTAATTCGGATCAAAAATAAAAAATTTCATTTTATTTTTTTTCGTTCTCATTCACTTTATGCAATAGAGGTTTGAATTTTGGACCATAAGTAGAACCAAGTGTCNGATCAGCTCGCCATGACCTTCACCATTTTCGCTGATACTTTTTTCTAATACATTCTTTTTCGAAGATTCTTTCGTCAATAGATAGAGGACACTTGGTTCTACTTATGGTCCAAAATTCAAACCTCTATTGCATAAAGTGAATGAGAACGAAAAAAAATAAAATGAAATTTTTTATTTTTGATCCGAATTACCCCGAACGACTCTATTCATCTTAAGAAAATAAATTTTATGCATTTTTCTGTGTTATGAACGATGGTAAAAGCATTTTCAATGAAATTATTTTCAGTCTCTAATTTTTAAACAGACATCTACGTATCATACAATATACTAATGAATTTATATAAATTACATCAAAGATAAATATTGATTACTATTCCAATACTGTTCTAAGGAACTGAAATATTTTATAAAAAATGGTGACAAAGAATAGAATGAAAATTAACAGTTCAGATATTATTTTTGAACAAGTGTGATTTCATTTGAATGTTCTACAAAAAGTTTTTCCTCTACTTAACAATAGTTTTATGTCTCTTTTGTAGATTAATAAAAACTCTGAGCTGAAGGAGATAATATCATTTCAAATAACATAATGTTAAACGACTTGTTTGTAAAAATAATATCATTCTAGATCTAGATACGTATGGTATTCTGCATATTTAATCCAGATAACATTACTAAAGTAACATGTATATATATAGAGGTGTAAGTCGATCGGCTGCATGGCTGGCGGTAGTCACAAAATTTCTAAGAAATATCGGCCGTGCCGTCGCTGATCAATACATCGGTTTTCACTTCTATAAACATAGAAAATCAGCAATGCAGTAGATGAAGATCATGACATCTTTCACATGTTCGAACTTCAATCATATTTGAATTTTCAAAGACAAAGAAATAATAAAATATGAAGTTAAGTTTCTGTAATGATGAATTTTATTTTACCATATCTAACACAGCAAATAGAAAAGCAAAAATAAAGCGAAATAATCCAGACGAATATTTTTCACGTAATTCAAAACACAATTCATTTATCTGCCCATTCACATTGATTCAATGTACAAGTTAAAGAAAACGACAATCAGTGTCACAAACGTTTAACATTAAAGTTTTCGTCAAAGTTTAGATTGAATGTTCTTTAATTCATGCTTCATGCCTTTCTTGTTTTTTTTTCCTAAACCAACCATACACTCTCTCTCTTGTTCTCGTCTAACTTGAATGAATCATATACATGTTTTATCTTCAATTCATGAACCCGTACAGTTTCACAGTTATATGAAATCTAATGATTATAAAAATATCATTTTGTACATACTAACTACTTGCATCTATTCCTTCATTGCTTATGATTTCTTCTCCAGATATTTGTATATTTAGTAACCATTGTACAGATTCTGCATTGAAAATGAAGCAGGTATATTGATAAATATGTATGTATTAGTAAGTAAAATAAATATGAGTGAAGTAAAGTTTGCTTTTTTTTTTTCATTCCTTCTCATATTTTAAAGACAAGCCTTCGTTTTATATTTGATTGCACGAAATTTTTTTATGCACATATGGCTTTAAGGAAAAAGATGAAACCTCATTCAACTCATAAGAAAAACAAAGTATATTGTATTTTCGTTTGAATTATTAAAAAAAAATATTCTATGACAAAGCCATACACATAACTTCGATTCATTGATTAAAATATTAGTTTAAATTTAATTGAATATTAAGTTAGTTCATTCTATAAACGATATTATTCACAAATCAATTGTTTCTGATCAATGTACAGAGATCCAATCTTCTTAGATCGGCAAAAGGAACTATGATTAGACTGATTATCAGTTAGAGTAGAGTTTTGAGACGATTACAAAGAAAAAAAAGCGAGACTTGAAGAGTGCGAACTACACTCGTACTTCAAAAAACTGAAGTCTCACTTTTCCCTCTTGATTTGTTCCCATTTACCTTTGGTGCCGACTTATGATTGATTTATTGAATTTTTTTACTTATTTTTAGCTACTTTCCCAAAGACTGAGTAACACAGTTTTGAACCAAACATTTTGCCTATAGATAGGTCTAATGATTCTTGAAAATACAATATCTTGACGAAAAAACATTCTTTTCGGGTGAAAATTTCAGTATATTCTAACAGTCATTAAACTTATCTATAGACAAAGTTTTAGATCAAAATTCTATTATTTGATTTTTTTTTAAAAACTACCTACAAATGAATCGAAAACCAAGTAAAACGACTATAACACGACGACAAAGGCTCATGGGAAAGAACCCTTTAAAGCTTTTGTTAGTCTTATTGAAAGAATATGGATAGGTCTAATATGATCTCAAACACGGAGTGTCAGTTGGGGTAGTTTTCGCGCTAGAAATACTTAATCTGATAAGTTATTTAGATACAATCATTCGTGACAGGATGATTCAAAGCATTATTGATTAAACAATGATACTGACTGATTTCATTTAAATACATAAGAGAAGAATAGCGATTTTAATATAATACTTCTGTTATATAGAAAAAATTACTACTTGCATTGAAATAAACCTTTATTTTTTAAGTTTCTCGTTGAACACGCTTTTTTCATAGTGTGTTTTCAATATTACAAAACTAACTAATGGCAGTATATAGGTCTTATCTTGATTCTCACCCATGCATACCTACATCTTCTCCTAGTAGCTTTAACAAACATCATATCCATTCAATCATAGCGACTCTATAGAATTAGATTAATTATTTCTTTTGATACAACTTTATACAATCTCCATATACTAAGAGACAGTTAACAAGCTTTTTTTGTCTTCATAAACAATCATACTGAGCTATGCAATTAGCTGTGTGCATTTTGAAGTAGGGTCATTTTTACAACCATAGTTGTAGAATCTCGAGATTTGAAAAATCGGCAAAACAAAAACTTCGTTTGTCGAAATGTTCTGGTGACGAATTGGGTTAATTATTTAATCAATCGACAGAACAAGATCATCACGGTGTTGATTTTTTACTTGTTTCATGTATCTCAGATCTAATTCTGTTTCATTATATATAACTAATTAATATTTTCTTCATATTTTATCTGTAACGACAAACTGGAGAAATAACTTATCGTCACTCTCAATAATGATGTTTATTGGGTTATTTTCTGTCTCCATTACGTCATTATTTCACATACAACATACTCTCATGTAGGCGAGAGCGAGACAGAGAAGTATAGATAGGAAGAGAATGAGGAAGAAAGACGAAAGAAAAAGTAGCATGAGGTGATATATCCATGTCGACATACTATGACAGTTAGTCAAAATAATTCTCGCTGATATTCAACAATCTTTACCGATGTCTAGCAAGTGTTTTGGTAGATGTCGCTTTACTTTTCTGATAAATATCTTCTATTAAAGATGATAATTATCTTGTTTTTATTTTACTTGAAAATAATTGAATATCAAATTCGAATAAAAATAAAATATCAAATTATCGCCATCTATCAATAAGATGTTTATTCAATTTTCCTAATTTAACCATAACTTCCTGGATCGATTGAGATATATTTCTAATCAAACTATTCCTTCCAAAAAAAAAAAAAAAAACAATAATAATAATATTTTTTTATTAAACTAATTCAATATTTTGTTGACATCAAATACTTTATTTCATTAATCTAAAACCAAATTTATTTATCTCATTTTGAAATCCATAATAATCATGTCGGAATCCTTTATATTAAGTATGTTCAGTTTAGCCATGTTTCTTGGCTCATATTTGTCTGGTCTTATTCCACTTGCATTCACTCTTTCTGAAGTAAGTTACTAATTTTATTTCTCAATTAATAAAAAAAAACAAATCTTTTAGACAAAAATGCGTTATGTAACAGTACTTGGCGCTGGTCTATTAGTTGGTACAGCATTAGCTGTTATTATACCAGAAGGTGTACATGCACTTTATATGAGTGAATTAGAAACAAATCAAATGCAAACTCAACATGAATTTCATTCTGATCATAAAATAGTTCGTCGACATTTAAATCAAATTGCACATGAAAAAGCTGCTGTTGCAAGTGATGTTAAAGTAGATAATGATATAAAAGTTGATGCTTTACCACCAGCTCATCAACATACAGCTGATCGACCAAGAGAATTAGGTTCAGAAATTGGACATAAACATTCTGATACAACACATTCAGCTATTGGTATATGCATATATATATATTATTGAATGGAATAATTCATTTCATTTTATTTAGGTGTTACACTTATTCTTGGTTTTGTATTTATGCTTATTATTGATAATTGTGGTTCGAGGATTATTCGGCATCATGGAAATCAAAGTATTTTTGTAACGAATTGTAAAGAAAAGTTTTTAAATATATTTTGATTAGTTCTGGATTCATCGAGTAACGTTATTATATCGAAACCAAAATCAACTTGGACAGCAACGTTAGGTCTTGTTGTGCATGCAGCTGCTGATGGTATTGCATTAGGTAATAGAGAATAAAAAATTATAATAATAATATTTCCCGGAAATAGAAATTGTTTTAGAAGATATTTTTATCGTATTATGATGATCTTGAAAGAAAATGAATGTTAATATTCATTAAAAGAAATATGTTAGCATTGATTATATGAGATAGTTTCAAATATGAAGACCAAGTTAATGACATTCCTAAAATATCTTTCGTTATTTTCTTTTCCTGTACCTATAAAAATCAAGATTATATATAAATTACATTTTCAACGAAAAATGTATTTATGAATATACATTTACAATCACTCGGCATAAATAATGAGAAATTTGTGATTATCCTTAGTGTAAATATTTTGTTGTTGTTGTTGTTTTTTCTCGTATTGTATAAGAAATAAGATTTAAAAGAAAAAAAATAATCCGCTGAAAAATTTGAGGAAAAGTTTTTTGCTTAACATTAAATCATAAGTATACTTAAGTGGCCTATTTAATCGTGTTTACTTGCCAATAGATTTAAGTAATACACGTAAAAAGAAATAACAAGCTTATCCGAAAAATAGATCTATACCATTAACTACATTTATTATACAGGTATATATATAATGTCGAAATCGAATCGTTAAATGTCTATTGATTGGAATGATATTGCTTAAAGATATATATATATATATTGAGAGTAAAAATATTCTTTCATTGCAAACTTTTTTATTACCTTGGCTTGTTTCTATCTTGACAAAATCAATGTTAGAAATATTTTGATTAAGGTAAGATAGAAATAACATAATTACTCCTTCACGCTAGCGACTTTCTTTATTTTTATTGATTATATTTTTAAGACGAAATTTCTACGAAAAAAAAATCTATTTTAGGCGCAGCATCAGCAACAAGTCGATTTAATGTTGAATTAATTGTATTTATGGCAATAATGCTTCATAAAGTAATTATTTATTATTCTTTTATATTAAACATTAGATATAATCTTATTTGTTTTATTAATAGGCACCAGCTGCATTTGGTCTTGTTTCATTTTTAATGTCTGATGGTGTTGATCGTAAACGTATTCGACGTCACTTATTAGTTTTTTCTTTAGCTGCTCCATTAATGGCAATATTTACTTTCGTTCTATTAAAAAGTGTATGCTTAGTAAATTTCTAATTTAAATAAATAAATTTTGTTTCTTTTTTCTTCATTGTAGAGAATTCGTGACACATATTCAGTTGATTCGACTGGTTTAGCTATGTTATTTAGTGCTGGTACATTTCTATTCGTTGCAACAGTACATGTTTTACCTGAAGTCCAATCTCATTATGATGATCGACAATTTCGTGCCATTGAACTTCTTATTCTTATTATTGGATGTTGTTTTCCTATTATTCTTTCAATGGGACATAAACATTAATGTATAAATAAATAATAATAAAAAATTCGGTTTTTTTGTTTTTCTTTAAATTGTTCTTGTCAAATTATTTATGAAATATACTATGTTTGTTTTTATTCGTTTCTATTTAAAATAAGAATAAAAATCTAGTATTATTGTTGTCTTTTGTTTTTAGATAATATTTCTATTTTGTTTTCTAATGGCTGATGATATATATGTTGTTGAAAAAATTCTTAATAAAAGAATACTTGAAAATGGTGAAATAGAGTATTTTTTAAAATGGTTTGGTTATAATGAAGATGAAGCAACATGGGAACCAGAAGAAAATGTTTTTTGTAAAGATTTAATACAACTATACGAAAAAAGTGTAAATATTAATGAGAATATAGTAAGTTAAAAGAAAATGACTTTTTTATTCATCATTAATTGTTTGTTTGTTTTTTTTAGGATGATGAATGTAAATTAATTATTTCGACAATCCTCGGTGAACTTGAAAATCTTGTTGAAACAGGTAATTTTATAATATAAATAATTAACTATATAGATTAAAGATGAATCAAGATAAAAACAGTAAACTTCAACATCAAAGTCTCGATTGTTTCTCTCTCGAGATGAGCATGTTTTCGTTCGATTGATACAATTTTGATTAGTAGTTCGATATGAAGAAGAAGAAATATAAATTGAAACGATTCATATATTTTCTTGTTTTTCTTTGTTGAAGAAAAACAGAAAGTAAACAAACTAAATATATCTTGTGAGGAATAAAAGAATTTACATAATCCAATTCAATAAAATATTAATATCTCAATTCATAACATAGATAAAAGTAAAAAAACAAAAAAACTACTAAAGCATGAATGTATATGCATATATCAGAGACTCACGTGTTTGTCACGCGCTCTTATTCACGCATGAGATAGTGAAATATGCGCAATAGCGTGGAATAGTCTGACGAATCCCGAATATTTTAGGGGAGTCTTCAATTAGATTTTTCTTTATAAAGTACGTATTATTAAAGGAGATATCTCAGCAAACCGGAACTACTTGAAAGATGTGAAACAATATTTCAGGATTACAAAATCATAATTTTTCCATTAATTAACTAATGAAGAAATGATCTATTATTTTATATAAGGCATGGCTGTTTCGGCGAGGACTTTCTATTATAGTCAGAAAATTTTTGGAAAAGAATGATTTCGATTAACACAAATAATTTGAAAGGAAAATGATATAATTATAATTATCTCGAATGGATTTTTTCAACCAGTTTGTTTTTCGATTCAATTTTAGAAATTTTAGGGCGATTTAAATTTTGAAGAAATTCAAAGTAAACTTATTTCTCATATCTATACATATACAGTGAGATTAACTGCTCTATTCAAGTAAAACAAAAAAAGAAAATCTTTTTATTCGATGATTATACATATTATTTATTTGATTTATTGCTTTGCATAGAAAAAACTTTATTTTTGCGATTAACATATTATTCAATAGGATTATATATTTTTATTTTCAATTAGTTTGATATACACAAAAAAGTTCTTATAATTTTTTTTTTTTTTTTTCAAAAATTTTTCAGTCTCTTCAAACAATGTAAGCATGGATGATCTAGCAAACAATTCTTGTTTACCATCCACTCATATATCAACTGCTACAATAATGGATGAAAATCCGAGTACTGATAAATCATTACTGTCCGATATTCATAGTATGATAAGCTTTCAAAATAAAAAAGAAACAAGAATTTATTATATCTTTATTTTGAAATTTAGATGAAAAAGAAAATGGCATATCTACAAATAATGATACTGAAAATGGTATATTGAAAATAAAACTAATTAGTAGAAAACAAAAAATATATACTAAAATATTTTTCTTTTTTTTTTTTCCTTATATCTAGAAGAATCAAAATTAATAAATAATAATTCAGAGGTAATATATTAAATAAGAATAGATTAAAATAAGATAAAGTTTATTTCTATTTAGTCAAAATCTAACATGAAACGCCGTAGAAAACGAACAAAAACGACGTCATTTACTCGTAAGAAAAGAGCTCGAGTTGATTCTATTCATAATAAATCAAGTATGGTTGATGAGAATGCTAATGATATTCAAAGACAAGAACGAATGGAAGTACAAAATAATACAATCGATTATCTTTCACTTGAACCAGAACGTATTGTTTCAATAACACGTTCACGTTTACCAGCTGAACAACTTGAATTTCTTTTACAATGTAAAACTTGTCCAACAAAATTATTTTTTATTTCAAATGAAAAAGCAAAAGAACTTGTACCGGATTTATTAATTGAATTTTATGAACGGCATATCAATTGGTTTATGGATAAACCATCATCATCATCATCATTATCATTATTATCACCACCATCATCATCATCATCAAAACAAAGAAAATCTAAACGAAACAGTTATTCAACTAATCGAAGCAATACAAATAGAAAAAAATCTTAAATATATTTCATGTCTCATTCTGTTTGTTGTTGTTATTACTGTTGTTATTATTGGTCATTTATTCCATTATAATAGTGTACAAAAAAAAAAAAAAAAAAGGATTTTCTTTTTTTTGTGTATTTTCAAACGAAGAAAAATGTTTGATAAAGATAAGTTTATGAAAAATAAAACAATGCAATGAAGTGTAATGAGCCATTAAATTTATTGAAGATACTCAAAAGTTAATTTTTCGTGAAGAATAATTTCAGTACCCTCGGGATACTTTGTAATTTATATTCATGAAGGAAGGTTTTCAACTGATCGGTCGCTTTTACAACAAAAGCTAGTGGATTATTCTACTAACCAACGATATCCATCACATTTAGAAATCTATCGTTGCCGCACCGCCATGAACATCTTTGCTGAAAACGACAAAATACTTACGAACATGGATAATCAACCACAAAAAAAAATGAAAGGTTCTCAAAAGATTTTTTGTCTATAGAAGAACCTAGTAGAGTTCTATAGAAATAAAAGACAACAGGTTAGAGCCAGAAACAGTTAGTTAAAATCCAAATTCTTTCATATTTCCGAATATATGTTCAAATTTTCGTTCTCGTGTACAAGGTAGAATAACATTTGTAGTGCAATTTTTAGTTTGTGTCTTGGAACAGCTTCAATTCACTTTTATTGTAGAGCATACTTTGTCTTGCAAACCTGAAGCATTATAATCTGTTTTGCTGTTTGAATTAGATAGGTTTCAATCAAAATATACAATTGATCAAAATAGTATTCTGTTCCTCATGTGTATATGACATCATTTTTTCTTGTTGATCGATGATATCGTCATTCAAAAGCTGTTTGTCTTCAAATTCCACATGTGACAGAATAACTTCAATATAATTTTCATTAGATCATATTTGATCAGATTTAAATCTAACTGAAGAGACGTAGGACTATTTTTTGATGTTCCTAACCACATCATAATTCTGTGAAATACTTAGTGTTTTGGTTTATGGTCACTTGTTCTTCTATTTCGCGTCGATTTGAAACATCAACACGTTTTCATGAAAAGTACATTTCGTCAGTCAGCAGAATTATGTCGAATGTTGATTATAAATGTTGTGTCCTATTTATTTGTGAACAAAATAATAAACAGACTGATTTTTTCTTCTCGATACTTATGAAAACCACTAATCGATATACATGTCAAAAGTAATATTACAAAACAGTTTTTTTTTGTATTGTTTTTCTTTTATGAATATAAACTATGAACATTCCTTCATTAACTGTAAATAAATGCGAAAACCTCGGATTTAAATCCGAGTGTTATGTGTACTTCAAAAAGTGAAAAGGTATATTCACTGTGTTTTTTATCACTAAATTGCAAGGAGAAAATACAGACGTGCTAAGTTAGCATGGACCATACTGTATGCGACCCTATCCGGTGACCACTGACTCTACTCTCACAGTGATATTATATCTTTAGAAATCACAGGAATTGAGTTCAGATTCGTGTTTAGCTTGGAAAATTGGGTAAGAAGAGTTATTTTTGAATGGATTTGCGTTTGTATCTAGCAGGATTACGATCGTAAGCAACCTCATCAATCTATAAGAGATATATCATAGATACAGGCATCAGGATTTTCCTAATAAATTACCAATATTAATAGCTATCGAGTTAGGGTTTTTACCTTTCGATAGTCCTTTTGACTAGCTACAAAATCAGGCATTTGGGAAACCCCAAAACTACTGGTCATCTGAGACACATCTAGGCAATTTGGTTTCTGGATGCAGTTTTTGTGCATTTTGAGACCTTTTTCAGGCGATGTTTTGTTAGAAAGCTACTATTTGGTTCAAAACTAATATCAGATTCGGAATCAGCGTTAAAAACTGAGTCGATTTATATATGTTGTGAATAATTTTGAGAAAAATATTTTTTTTTTTAAATCCCTGTACCGCCCCACCCCCCCTCAGGGATGGTCTGGTCAATAATGACAATTTTTTCGATAACTCAGCCATTTCGTGACGGATCCTTCTCATCTTCGAACTCGACCGAGACATTGTTAAGACTGAACTGTGTAGAAAATTTCATCATGATCTGACTCTCCTTTCGAAAGTTATTCTGTAAACGGCCGGACGGACATACTGACCGATTCTAGAGTGTACGCACTTTTTGGGTACACAAAAAGATGTACTTCATGTAATCACAATATGATAGAGATAATCAAGTTTTTCTTCATGCTTAAGTAACTTTTGGTCTATCCTGTATATAGTTTTTTTAAAATAATGAAATAGATTTATCTTAACATTTAATTCTCGTTTCTTTACCTATAAGCTATGTAAATAAGTCATCTGAAAAACATCGATCAAATATAAAACATGTAATTTAATTCTTTCTCTGGAATATCTAACTACAAATTTAAAATTCTCCTAATTTGAATTTATTAGATCGATTACTCTATGATAAAATATTCCAAATGTTAATAGCATATAGAGTTCAACTAAAATTGAACTTTTTGCTTAAATGAAGAATTTTTCTCTCTACATATTCGAAGACATAGTTAAATTACTTTTAGAGAAAAAATTTATTAGTGTTATAAACTTTTTTTTCATTTTCTACATGATATAAAACGTAACAAAACGGTAAGTCATGCAAAATTATAAAAAGAGGACAAAATGAGCAGATTTCGAATGTACAAAAACGTTTTTTCAGCGCGTCTGAAAGTATGTGATATCATGGCTCTCTAATTTCTAACCTGTTCCCAATGTTGTAAGATTTCATTTAATAGAAATCTTTGATTATCAATGTCTACTAGAATAATCAATACTTTACGACTGTGAAAAAACTTAAATGAAGAAAAAAAATAGTCGTCTCCAAGATAATCAATATTCTTGAAATTAGCAGACGCTGTATCATTGCTACTTTCCACATAATAACTACCGAGAAACTACTCCTGATATAACGATCCATATTGAAATCTGAGAGTTGAGTCGATTTTCATATCCAGGAATTATGTTGATGTGTCTGTACTAACCACAAAGCTTAAATCATTCGTATTTCTATAGAAAACAGTCTCGACAATCGTGAAAACAAATGTGCAACGTGGATCTTGATTCTTGATAGTAAGGAAAGGTGTATTCAATTCATATTACATTGATGGTAACTATTATTTCTCGTTTATCTATACTAATATTCTTCAGTTTCCTAAAATGAAATATATAATTGTTGCTTTCTTCATAATAATACCAAATTATAAAAAATCTTATTTCTTAGTTTATATTCCAAATAAAAGAAAAAGAACCAACACAAACGCAATAATCAAAGAAAAAAAAATTCATGATTGAATGTTGAATAATTTTATTTGTTAGTTAATTTGTTTTTCTTTTCAATTAATCTACTTGTTTATTTTTTATCTTTTTCAACTGTTGATGTACTAGTTGTTGCTTGTTGTTTTTGTCTTTCGGCTTCTAATTTACTCTGTTCATCTTCATACTGTTTAATTAATGTTGTTAATTCATCATCTTTTAACATTCGAATTGTTGTTTGATTTATTTTATCATCATGTTCTAAAACGGCTATTTCAATTTTTTCCGGTGTTAATTTAGTTGTATCAAGAGTTTTACTAAATACTCTTATAGCTAAACGTAATGCATCATTTAATTGTGTTTCACCTATTTTATATTCTTGTTTAAGAATTGATATAGCCGTTTGTGAATTATGACCAACACATGTTGCTTTCCATCCACCATAATTTCCACTTGGATCTGATTGATATAATTGATAACCATAATGTTTATCCCAACCCATATAAAGAAATGATACACCAAATGGACGTTTACCACCAAATTGTGTATATGCTTGTTTTATATTACATAAACGTGAAACAATATATTCTATAGGTGCCGGTTCTTGATAAGTTAATAAATATCTAAAACCAATAAAAAAAAAAAAAAAAATATTTTGAGATTTATGTTTGTCAAACAAACCGTTGTCCGATCAGACGTAATTCATTAATTAATACATTTGCATCACTGGTTATACCAGAAACAGAACAACAAAGATCATCATGAATTTTATAAATTTTTTCTGAATATTTAACATCATCAAGTAATGGACTTATATTACGTTTTTCACCGGCAAGTACAACACCATTTTCAGCAAGAATACCTAATGAAGCACCAGCATGTGATATAGCTTCTAGAGCATATTCAACTTGATATAAACGACCTTCAGGAGAAAATATCGTTGCACGTGTATCATATCGACGAGCCATTGTTTTAAATCTACAATTAATGAAATATTTATATAATGATAAACATTTATACTGCGTACATAAGAGAGATTCAAAAAGACGACAAAAAACAACGATTTGATCAGGAAAATATACATTGACAAGAAAAAAAGGTCGAGATTTGTACAAAATTTTATTTGTTATTATTGAGGATTAACATCTATATGGCGACGTTTCGGTTTTTTTGGATTACGTGAACGACTTTTAGCTTTACATATAGGACAGATAGGTGCATTGCGATGAATTTGTTGTTGACATGATTGACAAGTCTAAAATAAAGAATGATATTAGACATTGAACAAATTTCAAATTGATTCCATACTTGACAAAAATGTGGTTCTTATTTCATTTCTTACAAATCTCAATTTTTGAACATATGATTAAAACGCCTACAGTATCTCGCAAGGGTGAAGAAGTGGTATGTGAAAAGTAAAGATTTACTGCATGGAATGGATTCTTACGAGGTAACATATGTAAGTGTAAAATCGCTTTTGAGTCAAGACTATGCGCATCATGTAGGCGTTAGTGAGTCTAGAAGAAGCCCAAAAGAACAAGGGCTGCTAGGTCTATCTTTCCGAATTATGACCGTTTTATTGAATTTTTTACCCTATGCAAGGTACTTCGAGGCAAATCGAAAGAAGGAATTTTGAGCTGAAATTTTGTCCATAAGTAGGCCTAATGATTCCTAGAATGTCCTGAAAGTTTCAGCCAAAATGAATGTTCTCT